TTACTTACACAGTTGGCGGTAACCCTCAAGCAGTAGCAGTCGTCGATATGAATAGCGACAATAAACCAGATATTGTTGTTACAAGCGCTATTTCGAACACCGTCAGTGTTCTTTTCAACACAGGCAACGGCACCTTTGATACTCAAACTACTTACACAGTTGACGGTAGCCCTCAAGCAGTAGCAGTCGTCGATGTGAATAGCGACAATAAACCCGATATTGTTGTTATGTATTATGGCGATAACACTGTTGATGTTCTTTTCAACACAGGCACCGGCACCTTTAATACTCAAACTACTTACGCAATTGATAATCATCCTGCAATCCTAGCAGTTGTCGATGTGAATAGCGACAATAAACCAGATATTGTTGTTGTGAGCTTTGACGATAACACTGTTGGTGTTCTTCTCAACACAGGTACCGGCACCTTTAATACTCGAATTACTTACACAGTTGGCGACAGTCCTACAGGAGTAGCAGTCGTCGATGTGAATAGCGATAATAAATCCGATATTGTTGTTGCACACTTGAATAGAGCCGTCGGTGTTCTTCTCAACACAGGCAATGGCATATTTAATGCTGAAACTACTTATGCAGTTGGTACTTATCCAATTTCAGTAGCAGTCACCGATGTGAATGGCGATAATAAACCCGATATTGTTGTTGCAAACAATGGTGATAGCACCGTCAGTGTTCTCCTATACTGTTAAGGCTTATCGATGACTAACCTCTATTTATTCATTGACACTTTATTATTCTACTAAGTATATTACTCTTATAAAACATTATATCATATAGACTAACATTTATCTTCACTCTCTATTATGAATTTCAACAAAACTTTGCGAACAAGGTCCCCATCTACTCTGCTTTTTTTCTGTCGTTTCTGCTTTTTCAATTTTTTTTCTGCTTTTTCAAATATTATCTGCTTTTCATTTTTAACTCAATTTCAGTTCTAATAAATCATTATCGCATACATATCCGATGAATCCTTAATGATGTATTCTGTCGTTTTCTTGTCGTTTTTGTTGCATCATGAAGATTAATAAGATGGCAATCTCAGATTTACAATGGTTAATGAAAACGGTTAATTTATACGCCACTTGTTGAGGCCCTTCTTTACCGATATCTTTCTTTCTGAAGTATTCTCTACCAATCATCCAAATCCTTCAATTCATTGTACACAATCTTATATCTACTGTTCGGTGTTGGTTAAGAATATAATAAGCTGTGACATTTGTACGTAGTAGAAAAAGATTGACTGCTACTAATGATAGCCATATTGATCAAGATGAACATAGTGAAGCATCAGTAACAATCGAATCGCAAATATCATCCAGTGATAAATCGAAAAAAAAGAAGTTGAGAAAAGGAATATTTAACAGAGAACGGTTAGAAATCACCGAACATGAATTATTTTTGAAAGAATATAAACTTAATGCAACGCAGGCCAATATGCACTGCTTGCAATCAGAAATTTTTAGTACATTATCGACAAAAAGCTGATATTGACTATCATATGAGGGTGTGCGTGTGGATTTGGGTGGGTGGATGAGGGGGAACTTGGATGCAGATATCGGTTTTCTATCCTTTCTACATCCACACCCATCCTCAGTTTTTATAACTTCGAATTCCTCATCATCAAGAGCAAAGTTGTCCTCAGAACATCTGCTACTTTCCACGAACAGTACTGCTAGCGGCGGCAGTGCAACAGAAACCAAATAATTGGATTATAAGAAAGAACAACCAGCAAGTCAAACAATAGATCCAACAGCAATGATGATCATGGCAAATTTTAACTCTATTACATTTCATTTTCTTATGGCTGATTTATTTTTTTGTTTTTCTTTAATAACAATCATAAATTGAGAATAAAGATAAGGAAAATTACTGAAATATTTTCATTTATATATATATTAAGTCATAACGAGTCATTTCAAACGGAAAAATAATGACGAACGATGCTGTACGATTTTCCTCTATCTCTTCAACACACCATAAGAAAAATATAATAATGCGATTTGTTAACATGAAGGTGAGTGGATGTGGGTCTGATTGAATGAAACATAACTCTAATTCTCACCCACACCCACCCAATTATTTCACCATTGCATATGTCAAAACACATCATACAATATGTCTTTTTCTGTTATTTATTGGAATAGATGGATAAGATTATAGTTGTAGTTTTATTATCTTAGTTATATAATTCTTTTTTATGACTGAAGATGATTAATGAATAAAATTAAATGGAAAAAAAACAAATTTTATTTCTAATTGAACAAAATCACAATATATATGAATAATTTTCACCATTCAATTTCTTTTCTTATTAACCTATAAATATATCCAAAAAAAAAATTATATTCTAAACTACTCTTGAATAAATACAAGAAAAGATATATCTATAGTAAGAAAATAGTTAAGAAATATATATGAAAAAATGCGGAAAATCATATAAAATGGATTAAAATTGTGTGCTATGCTCATTTGATTCTAATGTATCATATTTAATTTTTATAACACCACCTCCACTTGTGTTTGGTTCTTGTAAAGCATACCATGCAACACTTGTTTTTTCTGGATCAATATTCGATAAATCAATTTGAAGATCACCCATATATGTTTCTTCTTGTGCGAACAATGGGGAATTATTTTTAATACTTAATGAAAGACGTTGTCGACGTATATCAGCTAATGATCCTCCCCATTCGAATAATTCATCATAATTTGGATGAATTTGATCATGAATAGATTTAGTTTTCTTTTTATCTTTTTTAAAATCTGGTAATAGATAAAGACGTATATACGGATCAGGTAAGTTTTGTTCATGAACATTGATCAGATCTCTTCAAAAAAGATTAACGTGTATAAATAGTTTCATTGAAAATTATCTTACTTGCATGAATATACAGTTACTGATAAAGATTTACGTTGAACTGTATAGCGAATACCAAGTTTTATTCGACCATATTTTGTTGTTCTAAATTTTTTTTACAGTTTTCAAAAAAGTAATGAAAAAATTTTTTTTAATTACTGTAAATCAGGATCATCTGATATAATAATAGATTTATCTGTTGTTGATCGATGTTCTGATTTTGAACGAAGACTAGGTGATGATGGCTATTTAAATAAAGAAACTTTCATACTATCGAATGTAGTTAATAATATTTACATGTAATGGCAAAGCAGATGCAATTGATTTTGTACCCTTATTATCTTCTAGTACAATATTTGATTTTACATCAGTTGTTGATGATGGTAATGAATCAAATGAATGGATACTACCAGATGATGGTGATTGTGGTGGTAATGGATTAATACGAGTTTCATTTGAACGTCCTGGTGATAAAATCTTTCAAAATAAAATCAATAGATTAGTTGTTCTTCTTTAAATTTACTTACAAAAAGTGATAAACGAAGAAGAATAAATGCTTGATCTAATGGTTCCGATAAACTTTTAAGTGGAAATGATTGTGTATCAATAGTCATTGTCTCGGTATCATATATTTTTTTCAGTGGTATTTCAAAATATGCAATAACATCATTATTACTTCGTGAATCACATACATCAATTCTTAATTTTTCATGAAGTGGACTTCCACATAATAGTTGTGATACATGTTCAAATCTTGGATTTGTTTGACTCTCAAATGCTGCAGTTTTAACTTCATTGCCTTCAAGTTTTATTCTACAAAATGGATTTGGTTCTCGACGAGTTTTTTTTGATCGAGGAAGATTAATACATCGATCAATATAACAAACAAGTAATGCTTTTGATAATTTTTCTCGTCTCATCATTTGCGAATTTGTTTTTTCCATCTAAAATTTATTTTTCTTTATAATAAAAATAAATTATCATTAAACTTACAATTGCAAGAGAAGATTTTTGTGTTGTTAATCCAAAATATTGTAAACAAACATTTAATGAACCTTTTTTTACATCTTTTAAAGTTAACCACTAGAAATGAATAATAGTTGGATACTTTATATGTAAAAATGAAGTAACATACTGTATCCACAGCTTCTTTGTCTACCAGTGCATCTAGAGGAAATTGAGCTCTAATACAAAAAAAAGAGTTTATATGAGATTTATCTACCATATTATAAATTACCTTCCTATGAAATCATCTGCTCCAGGATCTTCATCGAATACTTCAAATTGAATAAAATCAGTTTCATAATGTTCAACAACAAATTCAAATACTTCATTCCATGCCGGCTCAGTCGTATTATTAATTGTTTTTGTTTTATATTCCGCACTACCTTGTGCTATAAATACACTTAAAAACAACATAAAATCAATAGTTTTTATATACCTTTAACTCGTACAAATGGATCACTCTTTCCTTTTCCAAGAAGGTTTATATCTGCTTTAATAAGATCATGTGCTTTAATTATAAATACTCGAACAACACCCTGAGGATTAGACCATCTTAAATGTCCAATTGATATATCATTAACAAGTGGAAAAACTTGTCTATTAGGTAAAACCATTAATGATGCTACGATATCATTGATTTGTACAAGCATTAGATCACTAATTAAATAGAAAAGATTTTATCTTTCATTTATTTATTGATTTATTCATACTTAAGACCAGGTATATCAACTAATGTTCCAGCGTCGGTTAGTTTAAAATGAATACTCTAAAAATTAAATTTTATATGTATGTATGTATAAAAGAAATTATTTTGTATATTTACAGGTTTTTTAAGAAAAAAATATGTCAGAGCACCAAATAATGGAATTGTATTTATCAAAGGACTTAAAATAATTCGAACGTCACCAACAAATTGAATATCTTTTATTCCACAAACAATTCCTTTTATTTTTGCTTTAACATGTGCATCACCAGCATAACTACAATAGAATTTCTTATTGAATAAATTGAATAGAAAATATACAATAACATACAAAACTTCAACATCCATCATAATTTGATCTCGAACATTTTCTGTATAAACTTTAATACCTCCAATTCTAGGTGGCTGAAATAAAATATTCAAGATAAAAACTATCTTTAAAAGAAAAAAAAACAACATTCATACTGTTTCTCCAAGGTCAAGTCTTTCGAATGCAAAATCTGATAGAGCTGGTGATGTTCCTCGAATTAATGGAATCATTATATCACGAAAAATAGCTTGATCAATATATTTATTTGCATATGGCCAAGCTTGTTTTATTATTCGATTTACCCATTCTGCTCGTTCAACATCAGGAAAAAATACCTAAGAACAAAAAAAATCGATTAAATATGTTTCAAATAATCAAATTTTATTTACCCATGATGGTAATTCATCTAAACGAGCTTTAATATATTGTTCTTCATTTTTATTTATTTCACTCAACATGTGATGACGTAATTTGAATTGAGCACGTTGGCGTTGTCGAAATAAATATATAAATACGGCTAATAAAATCCATGATACACTAAAATGGAAATATCCTAAAAAAAGGATAAAGAACGATTATTATAGAAACTTCTTTTCTCCATTAATTCAATTGGATTAAATTAAGTGTAATATTATAGAAAACCTCTTTTACGTGATTGGCATTCTATGTGAATTTCTCCAGAAATCTAATTCAATCATTAGAAGTGCCAAAAGCTATTCCGGTTTATTTTTTATCTATTAAATGATGCTTGATGTATGTTGTGCATATAGATAGAATTTATCGATTATGTAAAAATATTTTATTTCGACCTAATTAAGCATTAATATGCGATACCCCAAAACAAATTCTTCTAATATGACATGTACGAGTAACTTTATCTTAGCAATAATGTGTGAAGTATCATGAATGTATAGAGAAAGTTATATATCGAATTTTTTTAATAGATACCTATTTAAGACTGAATCATAGTTTGTGTGTTATTCTTTCATTATTCATTGCCATTGGCTTATTAAAGAACAGATGTATTTATAGAAAAGTAGTTTTCTCCCTACGAATTATATGAATAATAGGCACTCGTTTCTATAGAATAATAACCCGTAATTATTTTCTGTAATATAATTTCACACAAGATTACATTTTTATTCATGATTTATTTCAATCGCTAATAAATATAGAAAACTTATAATTTTTACTTACCAAGCAACCAAACAAAAAAGACAAGCCCAACAACTTCCAAATATTTTTTCATCATAGTAATTAAGTCACCTTCCATTGATCCTAAACCAACTTTTGTTTGAGGTATCTGAACTTTACGTAAATCACGTGCATCCATTGATGGTGATGGTGTTACTGGTAATGCTTCAGTGTTTGTATTTACTGGTAGATTATTTAAACTATCTCGTATATTTGTAATAATGGCTTCCGTAGTGTTGGAAACCTATGTAAGAGAATGCGAATTTTTATTCTTATTACGTCAGATGAAAAGGCAAAAAAATAGCTATACAAAGCAAGATATTAAACTGATAAGACATATTTAATACAAATACATACCACGGATGATACAGTTGCATATAATGACTGAATATTATAACCAGCCATTATAAAAAAAAGTTTAACTGAATAGAAAAAGAAAAATGAAACAAACAATTTTATAAGATGTCAATATTATTTTTAACTCTTACACAAAAGAATATGAATAATTCAATTTATTAAAATCTATAGATTTTCTTATTTTTTTTCTCTTTCTTCTTGTTCTTCTTCTACTTAATAATATTACAGTTGATGAGTCAGAAGTAATACGGTAAAAATCATGGCAATCCTATATATATATATTAGATTTCTTTTATGATTGTTAGCATGTTTTCTCTAATAAGAATGGAAATAAGCACGTTTGAAACAAAAAATTGTATTTGCTTAAATTGACTTATAAAACCTAGGGTTCTTTTTGCGCTTGTACTTCATTTATATATAACGAAGAAAAGTAATACTTCTGTCATCTCTCGATATAATAAAAAAACAAAGTAAAGGACATCACTCAAGGTTAAAACTGCCAACATATAGAATATTACTTTAGCATTCTATTGAAAACATACGTCTAAGAAAAGCAAAAGGAATGTGTGTGTGCACAGACTTACATCTATGATTATGTATGTGTAGACAGATATGAATCGTTAATAAGGTTTAGTTACATTAAATTCACAGTGAGAAATAAAAAAAGACAAAATGAGAAGATACGACAAGTTTGTTCTCTTTTCGTTTTACACAATCATACTAATGTAATCTACTCTATTATAATGAGTAAGTATATTACCTGAGTTTTTTCAATCTATTGTTAGTTTTGTATATTGATGTTCTTTTAGTTGCTCATAGATGTTATGATAGTCTGAAAAAGTAATACGATTATTCTTCGATACATAATTTAAAAAATGATTCTTTTTCTTTTTTTTCTTTTCTTTTTCTTCTTTGATGTTCGTTGTCGTCGTCGTCACTAAATGCATGTGTATGGTTGTATTGTCAACCGAGAGAGAAGGAGTGAAACACGAGTATTGCAAACAGTAGGATGTATAGCATTTATATATATATATGATGACTAAGCGAATAGTAAAAAAAAAGCGCAATGAAGTTCGTTATTACGGTGTGTTTGAATTTATCGAGAATTTCGTAAAAAGAAAAAAAAATGCAAGAAGGTCGTAAGGTAATAAAATACTTCGAGATTTTTTCTTTACAACACATGAAACAAAAAATAACAAGATAATATAAGAGATAAATAATATTTTATATTTTGACACTTCTAATTTTTCTTGTCAGAATGTCAATATGAATAATGCGCATATTGAATATACTAATATATACCATGAAAAATATTACTATATAAATTACCTACGTGACTAGATAAAACAAGTTCGAATAGCATGTAAAATAAAGCAAATGAATATTGTCTGCTTTTTTTTCCTCCTTTCTTCACATATTAATAACTATGAATATACTGCTCGATAACAAAGAAATATACTTAGTCGAATAACACTATCTAAATATCATCGGTTATAAAAGAGAAAATACAGAACAGATACGACAAATTATACTCATAAAGTATATCTTGTCATGTATAAATCAATTTGTATTGCATATAATGATGAATGATATTTAATCTACTATTTTATTTTTGTCTGAATAAAAGATTCTATCTTCGAAATTTTATAATAAAAGAACATATTTGAATAAATATCGAATTTGTCAGTATAGTGAAATTCGATCGTATATATAATTCGAAAACTTCATTTGCATAAGCTTGATTTAAATCATATTGAATGAATAATAAATCGAACAGTATTTTTTCTTAATAATTTTACTAGGATATATAGAACGATATTTATTTTGAAGCATTCAACCGTTAAAGATTTCCTGTATTTGAAAAGAAAAATAAATAATCAGCTATAGAGAACTAATGTTTTATTGAGTACTAAGTATAATAACGCTAGGGAAATCATCACATAAGTTATTCATATTGCAATGTCCTGAGGATATAGTGTCTAACAGAAGAGTTTACTCTATTCTTATTGTTTGAATTAAAGCAACTCATCCTAAATTATCTATTTTTTGTTCGATGATTAGCATCTAATATTATCTATTTTAAGAAACGAGAAGAAAAAAGAAACGTGAAAATTTTCTTCAGTATTTTTATTACATAATTTCGAAATTCTTTTCATGGTTAATTCCCATACCAATTTTCAGGTGCATGAAATTAATCTAATGTGTTCATAATACAAACAAATAATAAATAAAGAAAATCGAAATTGCCGTAAAAAATAAAATTGAAGTCGAAATTTTGAGAAAAAAAATTCACACAAATAAATATTTGTTATAATAACGAGAAGAACTCCTTCTCGTTCTTTCCTTTAAATAGACAACATTAAAACATGATAAAAAAAACAAAACAAAAGAAATAAAAAATATTACATTAATATTTTACTACTGATAACAATGATTTATTGTGATACTGATCGATAATTTCTGATGGTGGTATTCGACCCATTTGACGAATATCAGCAACTTCAAGAATTCTTTCATATAAAGCAATTGTTTCAGGGGATAAACCGGCATCTAAAAGACGTTTTTCTAATGCAACATCATGTTTATGAAGTAATTTTTGATTATGTGTTGGAGTTCCTTCTGGTATTGTTATACGTAATGGTATATCGGAATATTTTTTTGAAAGACGAGGTACATCATATAAGGATTTTGATGTTACACTATGCCATTGTAAATTTGGATCAACAGTAACCATATGAACTTGTCCATCTGGACTTTGTTCTTTTGATATAATTGTTTGATTAAGTGAATTATCAATAAAATTAATAATATTTTGTTGTGGATGATTTGAAGTGTTCTAAAAATAAATGAATATGAAAGGAAATCAAAAAAACAAAAAATGTCATTTATTTACCATCTGTGACGTTAAACTCATTATTTTATCTGACAAAATTTGATTCGAAAGAAATGAACTAACTGTTTGTTTTGGTGGTGGATCAGAACTCATTGAACGACGATCAGATAGAAACGATGATGATTGTAATGCAAAACGCATTGGATCTGATGATAGTTTTTGTGGATACTGTTGAGAATAAGTTTGAGATGATAGAACTAAGTGTTGTGATTGTGTTTGTTGCGGTTGTAGTTGTGACAAACTATTAATAAATAATTTTTTTCAAAGAAAAGTTTTTTATTATTATAAAGATACTTACTTTTGTAGCATTTGATGTTTTGATATTTGTGATCTTGAATTTAGATTTGATACTATTCCTGTTTGTGAATTAAATGCTGTGGATTTATGAAATGGACGAAATGCACTACGTGATCCACTTGTACCTAATATAGTAGCATGCGGTCGAAGAGACTGTTTATAGTCACTGTCCATCGTTTCAATATTAGTTTTAGATGAATTTGTTGAAGTATTATTTTGAAGTGATCTTTTCGATGATGAACCTTTTTCATTCTCATCGCCTGTTACAGTTATCTGAAGTGATGGGAAAGTTTTTTTTGAAGTTGGAGGCAGAGCATTAACTGGTGGTACTTGATTTGAAGTGGATTTTTGTTGTGTTGAAGAAGAAGAAGAAGAGGATGACGAAGGAAAATGATTTTGTGTTGGTGGTAAACTGTGACTACGGATTGTATCAATTTCTAGAGGATGCCTCAATTTTTGTTGTTGATGTTGATGTTGAGAATCCTTTTGATAAGGAGGAGGAGGAAAAAGAAGATTTGATACGGAAATATCGATGACCGGCGCAGTAGAAGAAACGTTTGACGGGACAGTTGCCAATGATAATCGTTCTATTGGTACTACAATAAAATAAATCATTTATTAAGTTATGTGATTTTAAAAATAAAACGAAATTTTTTCATTTTTTCTTCGTTATGAGAATTTTGTGCATTCCTCTTAATTTCTATTATTAGTAATTCTAACACTACCGATCGGCATTATTTGTTTTTTTTATATTCTGACTCATAAATTAAAAAATACTAACATTCCTTATGAATAGACATACATTGTTTGGCTCTAAAATAAAATATTTTTGATACAAGATTATATCTTCAGAATTAAAATAAATATTATAATTTTTCAGAGTTTGTTTATCATGAATAATATATTTTATGATTTACTAAGAACATATGAATACGGATCACGCGATGCCTTATAATCTGTCTCCTATAATTTTCATGGTCATTTATTTTATCCCTATTATACTTTGAATATTTTGTTTCATTTTGTAAACGTATTGAACAGTATACGAATGAGAGAGTGAGTGCACTCAACCTGTAGTCGAATCAAAAATTAATCTATTTCTTTCTCGTTCTAAACTTCGCCTACGGCTAGATCAATTTTTTTCTACTGTCTAAAGTTTAAACATTTCATATGACTAATAGTAAAGTTTAATTTTTAAGTGCTCTTATCAACTAATATTGTATCGTCAATAGTATTATGGAGAAATTGACTAATCCACATTACAATCATGATTACAGGGCATATTGTTTTTATCAATAATATTAACACTATACATATTGACAGGCAATAAAATAATGTGTTGATATTTTTTCCAATTATAGAATTATTTTTTTGTTTAAACTCTTAACAATTTCTATAGATTACTTAAAGAAAAATTGATTAGTTTTTTTTTTTTTGTAATATATTTTTTGTATCAATATTATAATTGTCTCCTATTCCATAGTGTAACTGTGCAAGGACTAAAGTAATAGTCTTATAATTAAGCTAGTCTATACTATTTGAAGGTTCAATATGAAGGCAATTGTTATTTTTCAAGTGACAGAAAAATAGTTATCGAAACTGATTAGATTCAAGATTCGTCTAATCGTAATATTATCTATGTATACATAACAGAGATAAAAAGAACTGATAAAATGGTGTCCTATACAAGGTGAAATAAGAAATATCAATCATATCGATATGGTATCTCCATCTTTCAATGTCATTATATTAGTTAAGATTTCTAATAAAACTTATTTTCATTTGAAATAAGATAAGAAAAATGAGTTTTTATTATTTCATTTTTAAACTAACCTGCAACAGTATCTTTTAATGATATGTCTTTCACTGTTTTAAGTGTATCTAATGACGAGTTCGATTGTGATTTGGTTAATGTTAAAGTCTCGGACTCGTCAGGTGATGAAGTCGAAGGTGGTGTAATACCAGCTTGGCTTAAATCTTCAGCTGTAATAATTGTTAGAATAATTTTCGATTGTTCTGGCAGTTTTTTCTTTTTTTTCGGCGTTATATTAAATATTTGCCGATATTTTATATTGTTTTTTATAGATGACGATGAATCATGACGAGAAGAATGAGAATATTTTCTTCTATTCATTATCATCGGAGTTGTTGGTAATAATGGCTGTATATAACGCTTTGATCCATCTCGATATCTAACTTCAATAGGTGGTTTTTGTTGATATTCACTTGTACGACGTCGTCGATGTACATCAACTGAAGGTATTGAACGAGCACTAATGAGACCATGAGTAGTCTGGTTGGAATTATATATCGACAATTTTTGATGATTACGTGATTGATGATGAATATCAACAACTGATGAAGTAAGACTACTACCTGATTCCTCATAAATTGTTTCAAGATGAATAGGCGGAGGAGGAATAGCAGGTTGAGTTTTTGACACCATTCTTATTGATGAACGTATTTAGTTAGACGTTTTTTTGAATGAATTATTGTTATATATATGTAATATATATTCAATAGAACGACAACGTATTAATATGGTTATATCATATATTTGACTTGTTCATTATAGTGTATTTTTTTTTCTTCTTTCATGCTTATATATTCGTTAGTTTATGTTATATAAATGATCCTTCATTTATCACTTCTGTTGAGACGTTAATATATTTGCTAATCTTGTTGTCGGTGATGTCAAGTTAATGATATCAAGAAGAATATGGTGACATTAAAACTAAAAAATAAATGTTATTATATATATACACACACACACATACATCTATATATAAACAATAGAGTAACATGTTATTACAAATTGAAATAATGTATGTATACATACATACATACATACATATAGTATATAAAAGCAAACCTGACTATTAGTTTTTACTGATTTGAATATTCATCTTCAATAGAATGGAAGTGAATAGTCAGAACCTATATCTATATATATATATCTATATATATTGATATGTATGCATGTATAGATATACATATGTGTATATATATATAGATATATACCAAGACTTTATTCATTTTTCTTTCTTTCTTTCTTTGCCCTATTTCAACACCTCATATGCATATACAAATATATTTTGATATGCGTAGCGAACACCTTCATTCTTTTTCTTTTTTTTTCCTTTGCTATGACATTTAACAGATACTTCCCTCCGTCAACTATTACAAGCTTCGGACATGGGAATGAAGTGCGACTAAAGTGAAAAACTAGACATCAGTATACTATAATTACTACTTGTCCTTATTTAGTGTGTTCGCCTTCAAGCAACTGAAAGATGTATACTATTTATATCTAAAAAGACCTTTCCGATATCAGTCACTCTTTCATTCTCATATACCCTATATACATTTATAATATATATATATATATATGTACGACCGTTGCCGTATGATATGATAAATATCTTTCATAAACTAGCTACCTGTCAAACAAAAAGAGACAATGTGAAACGATGATAAAATTAAACCAAGCCGTCGTATATCAAAAACGAAATGAAAAGACTAACATATTAAACAATGCATTCAAATGTTTGTCATATATAAAATGGATTAAAATGATACATCGATCATTATTTGTCTTACCTATGTATTACGTATTTATTAATAAGCAAACATCCCTGCGTATGCGATCCATACATTATTTCGTTTCATTTTTTTGCTTCTTTCTTCTTTCGTTCATTCTTTCGTTCATTCTTACATTTTTCTTCGCTCATTGATTTTTTTTTTACTTTTTTTTATTGTACATACATGACTAACTATGATGCATTTTGTTTTCATGGTCGCATATATATATATACACATATGCATATATATATATATATGTGGTACAAAACGATGACTCTTTTCTGGTTGTAATTTGCTTTGATTGCGCTATTGACAAAAAATGCTTATATAATGGACAATGATTTCATTTTTTTTCTTTCTTTTTCTTTCTCTTTTTTCAATCTTATAGTATTCATCTACCTTCAAGCTATAAATTTTAATATGACTGTCTTATTTTACAAACTAGTTAACTATATGATAATGAGAACGATAATAACACTGAATTCTACTTTTTATTATCTCGTAGTAAAGATAAATAAGTATGATATTATAAATGTTCACATTGTTATTATCATATTCGTTCTCCTCACTATGTCACCTCTTATTCGAAATAATATTGATCGGACTAATGATATGAAAGATTTTATCTAACCAGTCTCTTTTTCAATTTCTTTAAGACGAACATTACAAAAAAAAAAGCAAATTTCATTTTTTTCACATTCAATGAGAATGAAATATCAATTATAATATCTACAAATAAAAGAAGAAGAATATGAATAGAGTATAGAAGACAAAGAATTTATTTATTCAAACAAATATTAATACAAATAAATATAGATAGACTAGAAGTTAATTAATTATTATTGTTTATATTGATTAAAATGAATTATATTTTATATCAGGAGGTGTATAAACCATAGTCGATACATTTTGTTCATTATAACAAGTTGAAGGTTTTGTTTCATCATTATTATTATCGACAGGAGGATATCGATTTGGAAGATCTTTATCTATCAATAAAATAAAATAAAATCTAATAGAAATTTCTATCTATTATTGACTAGACGGAAATTTTTAATTTTGTTTTTCGTCATTCATCTCTTTAGATAAGAAAAACATAATTATGTGTCATATTGATCGTCATGTTTTAAAAAGATATCAAAATATATGTATTCGATTTAAAATGACTATTTCGAGTTTTAATGAACCATATTTATAATAACACAAAAAAGAAAGTCATTTTCGATAAATGGTTTACATACGTGATTTTTTCGTATCAACTACCGCAATCTTATTGCTTTTTGACGACATATTCGTATTAGTATTTTTTGTTTTAAGTGATTGTTTTTGTCGTTCTTGTTTACGCCATTTAGCTCTTCGATTTTGAAACCATACCTAAAAATTATGTTCAAGAAAATTTTCAGTCATTCTTTTTTTATTGAAAATAAAAATTTACTTGAACACGTGCTTCAGTTAAATCAATACGAAGTGATATTTCTTCACGTAAATAAACATCTGGATAATGAGTCTAATAAAATAAGTAAAAAGTCTTTGTTATCAATAATTAAAACAAATGTAGTCATAAAAAAATTCTCATCATCAATAATATTGATGATAATCTACAACATTTCGAATTCGAATCTGATTCATTAAATGTAATTTATACACTTTAATGATGATAAAATCCAAGTACATAACTTGATTTTTCGATGTTTGCCATCTAGATGGTTTGAAGGCTATATGTAACATACTAGTCATCGATATAGATAGATAAAAGTACAAAATTGGGTATGTTTGACTCGATTAAAAAACTTCATACCATTCAATTGGTTATGATGACTTCGATTGAAATTCTTTCTCTATTGTGTATTTCGTAAATTGAATATTATTGATCTCAATTACAACGGGAATTATACTGTTTCGATTATGTCTTAATTCTTACTGATTATACAAAGAGAAAATTTGCAATTTAGCTTCATTTTTTTTTATGATTGATAACTCAATATTTAAAATTAGATAATTTAATCAATAAATTGAATTATTTTATTCTTACTTGTTGAAAACATTTTTCAAGTTCTCGAAGTTGTAAACTTGTAAATGTTGTACGAATACGTCTTTGTTTTCGTTTATTATCATGTAGAAATGCTGTTGGTGTTGTTGATGTACCAAGAAATGATGGTGTATTAGAATCATTTTGTGATGTACCAAACATTTTATAAGATGATTGAAGACCTATTGATATATATATATTTAATATGAAAGAATAATTAAATGAATTTACTTTGCATTGTAGCTGAATAAAAACTTGTCGGATGTCGTAATGTTGTTGGTGTTGTTCGATACATTTGATGATAGGAAGCAGCTGTTGTTGATGAACTTGTTGTTGATTGTGGGTGTGAATAAAAATCTGTATATGGATTATAAGTAGCTGCGGCTGCTGCAGCTGCCGAATCAAAATACGAAGTAGGATCAAAAGGTAAAAAATAATTTGTATGTGAATGATCCATATGATTTCCTAGTCGGGTTTTTTTGTTTTATTGTTAAATGACGACAATGTTTGACTTATTGTCGTTAGTAATCAACTTATATTTGCTTATTTCTCTCTCTCTTTTTTTTCTCATTTCGGATAAATAAGATGACAGAATGTGGTGAGCATATTTAACAAATTAAAGCAAGATGGCCGATCAATTTAAAGACAGTGTTAAAGAAAAGCATCGATCTAATCAATCAGATATTGTCGTTTTCTTCTCTAGGGAGATGAATGAAGACTAACATATAGATGTGAAAAAAAAAGAAATGCTCAGAGAACATACATATATATATATAGATGGTTTGCTTTTTTGATTTGTCGCCATCAATTTTTTGTGACATGTCTTAAACGAATAGAAGCTAAAAAAAAAGAAATTGATTTGATGACTCGTTCGTTTAGCACTTATCAGCTTATGATTAAACGAGTTTTCCAATGGGAGTCGATCTTTCAATTTGAATTTCAACTCTTGACAATTGACTAATCAAACATTTTTCTCTTCTTATCGAAATATAATTATTATAAGACAATCGACTGTACAGACTATGATGCAATCATTCCAACAGGATTCATCTACCTAAACGAATACATAATTTCAATCATATTGATGAGCTTGACACCTTATCTTTTACGCAATAGGAATGTGTTCAATAATAAGGTTTTGTTATTAAGAAAACTGAATATATCACTTGTGAGAGAAGTGTTTTTTTTTATAGATAAAATTTTTGTTTTAAATATTTAATATGTTGAATTATTTATTTTTATTATCATTCAATTATCTTTAATTGATTTTCTTTTTATATAAAGAAAATGCTTTGTTTTTTAACATATGATTAAATTTATATGGAATATATTAACTCGGTAATAAAATATCATTGTCAATTATTAAAATCTGATCTGCAATTAATTTCTTGTCTTTTAATTTTGTCTTTTGACTAATTTGATTTTTCAATAAACGATAAAATAAGACAATATTTAGAATACCAATTGCACAAACAGATATTACAGTAAATAAATGTGTTATTGGTTCAAGTCGATTTCGTTGTAGATATAATGCTCGTAAAGCAATAAGTACAACACCAAAACGAAATATAATAAATGTTATATAATTTCCAGTATCAATAAATAATTTTAATAGATTTTTATAATAAATTGATGAAGATACAGGTGAATACCAACGTAAAAGTCGTCGAGCATGTAAAAAAACACTATTAATTTCAAGTGAAAGTGCATAGAGACCATAACCAATATTACGTGTACGAAGAAGTATTTGAGATAAAAATGTTATGACAATAATATGATGAATAAGAATAGGAAATGTTGATAATGTTGAATTTTGTAGACAATCAAAAAAATCCCAGAAAAAATAACCAATACTAAAAGAAATGACTGCATAATTGAAATAATTGGAATGTGATAATGGATCATCAAACATTTCTGGTGCCCGTAAAACAGCAATTAAAATTAATATTGAACATATAGTTGAATGTATAAAACTAAGTAATGTATTTTGTTTTAACCAATTATTTTTTAAGTTAGATTTTGTCATATGATTAGTTATATAAAAAAAACCTAATGATAATAATGCGTAAATAATCATCCATATTGGTTGAATTGGTTCGTATGGGTAGATATCTGATTCATGAAAATAAAATAATGTGTGCATATTATGTATTAATATTTGCTGATAATGATATCGAGATGTAAATCATTGTAGTCTTTTTTTTTACTTATGATGAAGTATATGCAAATTTCATATACTTATATTTTCAAATATGAAAAATAACGTTCTTTTTTTTCTTCTCTTTTTTCCTCGTTGTTGAAGAGAATAAAAAAAAACGTAATCGTATTCAGAAGTAAAAAGAAATTACCTACTAATAACAACTTCACCTATGGAGTAAGTCTTCACTATTTAAACATTGCTTTTACTCAATATAACGAATAAGCATTCAAATATTTTATAGAATTACTTCATGATTGAATGTATTTGCATTGTTTAATTATATATTTCTATATAGTCAATAAAAAAAACTTTTTTTTGAAAAACGACAATGTAAGCAGAGCCCGTGCGAAGGGTCTAAGATTGGGGATAGGGGGTGTAACGGGTTTTGAAAGAGCGTAAAAATTTTGGGCGGGGGGGGATGTAAAAGGATATTTAGAGTAAAATTTGCTTAAAAAACACAAAACTTGTCCCAAATCAGCTCCCGTCGTTGAAAAAAAAACAAAAATTTTCAATTATTGGGGGGATGTACACTCCCCCGCTCGCGCGGGTACTGGAGGTAAGTCATAGAAGATGTTATAGTATATAGGAAAAAAAGTACAGATTCTATCATGTAAGATGGAATAGTTGATGAATTTACCAAATAAATTAAACTGTGAACTATGAATAAATATAGAATAATATAATCAGTATTCACGAAATAGCTTTGATTTTCTATATACTTTAATGACAAATAAAATAAAGCCTTTTCAACGACTATCAGAACAAAAGAAAATGCATTCGATTGTCATACAAATAATATTCAACATACTTATTACGTATAGTAAAGAAAATATCGTCTTTAAAATCAACATCTTCGTAATAGTATAGATTTATATAACAGTTAAATGAGATACTTATTCAAATATTTAAAAAAAAGAATAATACGAAATGAACTTATTATATTTCGATATGACTAATCACATATATAGCTTATAAGATTCTTCTAAAATATGAGAATAAATTTAAAATATCTGCAGACATTATATCTGTATCAGTGATGTTTATGATGTATTATAAAAATAATGATTTTGTCAAAAATAAAAAAGCAAAAAAAAAGACGGAATAATAACACATCACAACAACGATGATACGTTCATCTAATCAAAACACCACATAATAGACTGTGATAACAACGACTCGCAAAAAAAATAATAGAGAAGTATAAAGAAAGTATTGCATGGCATACATACTTGATATAGTCAATAGAAAAGAAAATCTAATAATCATCTTATGATATTCGTATAAAAAAAACTCATATGTTTTGTTTTGTTAGAAAAGTCCAGTATTTGCTAATTGAATATATTCACTGTTGTTCTTTATATTTGCCATAGCTTCTAAAAGATCTAAAATATAACAAAATTAAAAATAAATTCAAGATAAATTATATTATATTACCAAAATAAAGTGGAGTAAAATGAAGTTGTAATGTACGTTCATCAATTGTAATCAATTGAGGATTAAAAACAGGTTGTTGTTCTTGTTGTTGTTGTTGTGGCGGTGGTGGTGGTGGTGGAGGTGGAATTTGTATTTGTGGTTGTTGTTGTGAAGGAAATGTAGATTGTGATTGTATGGGTATTGATACTATTGGTTGAACAATAGTAGCAGTCGAATGTGAGGGTGGTGAATCTCCATCAACTTCACTATCTTCACTTGTGACAGGTGGTGATACTGGTAAACCCATACATTCATTAACTAAACGCATAACAGCTGTACGATCATAATCTCGAGGACGTATAGCTGTTGGAATACTATAAAATAAAAAATTTTGTTTCCCTGTATTCGATTAAAGTCACACAAACCGTCGAAAAAAACTACTAATACGTTGTTCAATAGCTACGTCGGACATTTGTGGATTTAATTTAAGTAATTGAACGATTTTGTGTCTAAAATAAATTCATGATTTGTTTCTTTTTGTAAATAATATTATTAATTATTTACACAAGAAACACTTCAATTCCACCTTCACTTGCTACTGCATCGACATGTAGACGTCGGAAACCAAGACGTCGATTATGTAAATATTGTCGAATAAGTGGAGCATCATGTCGAGTAAATATATATGCTGTTAATTCACCTTCACCCCATGGACGTGATGATGATTGTTCACGAACAACAGACACACCTAAAATCTAGAAAAGAAAAAAACAATGTTCATATTCTTTTAAGAAAATTTATCAGAAAAAAACTAAGAAATGAACGTACACGAGCACCATGAATTTCACGTGTTAATAATGTTTCCCATTCATGTGGTTGCATCATATGATCAAGATTGTGTACAATCAACATGACTAATGTAAAACCTGAAGTTGAAGGTCTACAAATGAAAACATTATTTATAAAATTGTGTATAAAAATTAATTTTACTCGTCATGTTCTTCTTCACTAAATTGTGATGGCACAGGAATATCTATAGTTAAAATTAATAAATTATATTAATAGGAATATAATATTTTCTATAAAAACCACTTACTATTTCGTCCTCGTGGATACATTATTGTGTATAGTTGCTATTTTAGCTGTCGTCGTTGTTGTGTTCTTGTCCACCTAAAGTGATTGTATGAACGAATAGAATTGTTTACACTATTCATTCGATTTATTTTTTCCTCTCTCTCTTTCTATTTCCAGTTAACACGTGGTAGATATCTTAGTTAGTTAGTAAAATATTATATCTATTTCCAAAATAATTCACATCATCTTTTTTCTTCTTTACTACTATTTCAGTGTATATTTAGTTATCTACATGTTAATGTTAAAATTATCAAACTAATATGACAAAGAGAAAGTTTTAAAAGAGATATTAATTTTATCTATGGAAAAAGCAATAGTGTTCGACACTATGACGAAAAAAACTATTATGGTAGTTCATATACTTTTAATGAAGAATTCGCCTATATCGACACGTTCTTTTGATATCATAGTTTGTTTTATAATGAATCAGAATAACGCAGAAATATTTAAATTAAATCATTGTGACTATATACATATCAGAATATATCGATGCATACGAATGAGAAGCATTTGATTATTGATTTTATACACAAAATAGAATTCGTTAGTATTGGTCATAATATTGATTTGGTTGAGTAAACCGATTAAATTATTGGTAAGTTCAAAAAAACAAAAAAATCATAATCAAAATTACATAAGCTTTCATGTTATTACTAATGTATACTGTCTAACACCAAACCAAGAACTCATTTAGAAAATTAAAGCGAATAATAATATTCAAATATAAATAATTAAAATTTTAACGATGCATTTCTTATATTTACAAGATTAGATCTTTTGTATAGAAAATCAAACATCATTAACCTGTATTAAATTGATGATTAAGAACCATTTAGTGATGTAATCATGAGTCAAAATACAGGTAGAGACGTCGTCGAAAAAATATTCGTACAAATCAGAACGAATATAAAAAAAATGACGATATAATGCGTATTTCATAGTCACAATAATAAAGATAAATTGCATTTTCAACATAGAGGCCTATAGGAGATATGATATTTTCGTAACTTGAAGTCTGTCTTGCTCTATCTAGTAATCTGGAGCAAAGTTTTTCCCAACTAATTCAGTTATTATCTTTATTGATTTTCAATGGAGAGTAACAAGACTATTACAGATTATGTTGAAAAAATTTATAAACGCCCTAACCTGCGGAGTTCTACTTCACAATCTCGTATATTTATTTTATCAATATTTCTAACTCGACAAATTTTTATTTCAATAGATAATTATTTTATCTTCTATCTAACAATATTTTACAAAGTTGGATTACAAATACACGTATGTATTTTGATATTTATTTTATAAAGTGATATATGATTGTATAGTACTATTGCCTAAATAATAAATTTAGTAGAGAAATATCCTTTTCTAACTTCATTTCAATGCCATAAATCAATGTAGTTAATTAGATGAGAAGACAATTGCTTTCATCAATCTTATTGCATAATTTTCCGAACAATAATACGTTAAGATTTATGACATCGATTGTACAATGTCATAATACCTACATAAGAAAGTATGACAGTGCACTATTTTCTGTTATAAAATTTTGACAAGAATAAACGTGACATCAACCTTCATATTTTGTTTTTTTCTTTTATTTCTGACATCATGAATGTGATCTTTTGAACCAAAAGAAAAGAAAAAAAGAAAGAAAGATAGAGAGAGAGAGAGAAAGAGAAAAAAAACGAATAATGTTTTTTGTTGGTTTATGTAACTTAGACTGCACACATAAAGAGAAAGAGAAAAAAAAACAAACAAGAGAAGAGAAGAAAAAAAGAACGACGATCAGCATCAGCAGTACAACAATTATATAGCAAGAAAAGAAAAATTGAGAGAACAAATATGAGTATGATATATATATGAGAGAGAGAGAGAGAATGTGTGTGTGTGTTTGAAAAAATTTCAAAGAAAACAAAAAAAGAACATGAAAATATGTGTATATATATATATACACAAAAATATGATAGATGGAAGAAGTTGATGCTGATTGTCGAAACAATCTAATGAACAGAAGAAAAGAAAGATACGATCGACCACGCACACACTGTTCACAGGCCGTCGCGCGCATGTTAATTCTTCTAAGTTTTTTTTGTTTGTTTAGAAACATACATTTTATCGAAAGATGATGACGATGACGATGAAAGTGATTTTTTTCGTTTTTGTTTCATTTTTTTTTATAAAAGAAAAGTTCAAGAAAATGAGACAAAAAACGCGGATGGAGAAAGATAGAGCTAGGAACAGGCGCTGTACACTGAAGAAAAAAAAGATACAGAAAAGAAGAAATATATAAGCACGATATTATTTTCTAGTGGCTCGTGCTGAAGATGATCGATCTGTACCATTAGGTGGTAATTGCTGTTTGGAATTGTTTGATGCTGATTGTGATGGTTGCACTTGATGAGGATCTTTAGGAGTTCGTCGATATACACCTTAAATAGAAAAAAAAGGAAATACATAATTATTAATTAAATATTTTTTCTTTTTTTCTTAATAAACCAGAATGTGTAAGAGCAACAAAGCGAATCGAAAGAAAAAAGAATCAAAAGCATTGGAGAAGGTATAAGGCGTGTAAGTAATGTATGTGTGTGTGTATGTATGTGTGTGTGTGTGTGATGTGTATCATCGAAGGAGAGCTTTTACACACATAAAATATTCAATATCACTACCTCTCTCTCTTTTTTTTCTCTCTTTTCTGTATCTTTTTTAATTTTTCTAATTATAATTATTTCATTCTGGATTTGATTGCTGATCGTTCAGTCTCATTAAAGTCTAAAGAAAATGAAAAATATATATGTTGACATATAAAAATTTAGTTCGGATATGTTATAAATGGTATTAGATTTCGGTTTTTGTTTTAATAAAATGCGACAGATAGCAGCAATAAGATAGAAACAGAAAATATTTTGATAGTAAGCAGCAGCCGTTTATTGTTGATAAGTATGTGTTTTTTTATAAATTGAACATGCGGCTCACTATGCATAAGACGGCTAAACACATTTGAACTTGACGGTGTTTTATGGAATTGATCAAAAGCCAAACTTGAACTTTTACTATTTTCATTGATATGTGATGATGATTTATGAAGTTTACGTCGATCATTGTGATGTGATGGTGATTTGTAAAGTTTTGAACCATGATTATGATGTGATGATGATGATTTATAAAGTTTTCGACCATCATTAGCATATGATGATGATCTATAAACTTTTTTTTCATTGTCAATATTATCATCATCATTATCATCTTCACTTTTATTGTTAGTTAAATGACCATTTTCTTCATTTTCAAGTTTTTTGTTAGTCACATAACCATTATCATCGATTATACTTAACGATGGACCGAATGTGGGTCGACCATTTATATCAAGACTTTCTATTCTTATTATGAAAATTCGTTTTTATTATACAGTTTATAGATATGGAAGAAGAAAACGAAGTATTCGAAAGATATAAATTGCTTTTCTTTAACTCACCTTGATTGTTATTATTATAGATTTGTTGTCCAGCTGGTTGTTGTCCTGGTGTAAAACCATTTGTTTCAATTTTATTTGCTGAACCTTCATTAGCACTGTTCGTATCGAAACGTTGTCCACTCTATAATAAAATAATCATTAATTAAATAAATAAATGAATTTCTTTTTCTTTTACAAATTTAAGCATATTCCAATCAAATATATAATCATAAGTGAAACCTTGTCGATGAAATAGGTTACGAAATAATTGTCGTAGATATCTAATAGATTAAAATTGAAAGAATTTATTTCTCATTGAAAAAGATTTGATACACATACGAATAATCAGGTTTATCATCAAAACGTAAGGATCGACAGTAAGAAAGATAAGTGGTAAATTCAGCTAAAAGTAAACAAACAAATCGACGACCAATTTTAATTGAGAAGACTAAACGCTTCTTACCAGGAAATCCTTTACATAATTCTTCAATGGGTGTTGACATTTTCTTTTCACTGATACGTTCATATTTTTGTCGTTTAGTTGCAGCTTTTAAACCTTGCCACTAAAAAATTCAATTTAACAACTTTATTCATATTGACAAAAAAAATCATTATTTCAATTATACCGGAAGACTACCACGATTAAAATACATCAGTACGTAACCAAGTGATTCCATATCATCTCGCCGACTTTGTTCTATTAATAAATAAATATATATTAATAGATACAACTTTTCATACATATATATATTATAATTTTCGACATAGTTAAAATATTTCGATTTCTATTTTTATAATTATTTAATACTTTATTATATGCAAATATGGCTTATTGTCAACTTAAATAATCCTACTGGCTGATTATTAGATTGATATGTATGTATGCATATATATACAAGCGAAATTTTGTAGAAGTCTGAAACCTATAATTGAAGGCATTTCTAATAGTAAATTACTAATAGCCTTGCAAAAATCAATGATCCATACCAGAAAGTTTAAAATAATGTAACCTTTGCTTTCTAGTTCAGAAAATTTGTTCTATATGCATCACTGGTGTTTTATTGATAAACACCGTTTTGTTTATTAAGTTGACAAGTACAAAATTATCTATTGATCATTTTACATCTATATATTTTTCTTATAATGAAAGATTTTATATTGTATCATCAAGATACGAAATATATTTAAGATATATGCTACTTATGATGTACCTAGACTAGGTTATGTGAAACGTTCTCCAGAAGGATTTTTTTTCTCCTTCTTCGATGGTTGAATAGACCAGGTCGGGTTACATAAGCAAAAGTATGGTTCACACATAATAAAGAAATTTCATGAGACTCATCAAACTCCATCCAACCATCACGAAATATGACAAAAAAAATTTGCTGAAATTTTGCATAGTCATCAATTTGTCTATAAAAGTCTTAACTTAGTCTCGATAGATATTTATTTTCTTCGAATACAATATATATATATGCATTTCCATTGTTAATTGAAATATGTCATATTTGTTTTGTAAGGTCAATTGTATATTAATATAGTATACTTATGAAATATAACTTCTAGTACTCTCTACTCAGTAAATAATCAGACTATTTCAATTTTTTGTTTTATCAAATTGTTAAGCAGATCTGATGATGAAGATTTTTTTCAATTTGTACACTACCTAGTATCTAGAAAATCTGATATTTTTAATATCTATATGACCTATCGACAATCACCTATAATATAATTCAAAATCGTTTTCCTTCTAAAAGATTCCTATCACATAGGCATAGAATACGGTTTTTTTCTCTCTCTTCATTCGAAGAATTGTATCATATAAGATAGAAATCGTCTATTACTAATTAACCTATACTGAGACAGTCGCATCATTAAAAACAAGCAAAGAAAACAAACCAATGCCGAGATGTGTGTTGATTGAAGCATAACGTGCTGTTCCGGTTAAATTTTTATTTTCCCGATAAGGTATATGTTGATGTGTGCGTGCATCTCGATATTTTTTTGCTAGACCAAAATCAATAATGTACACAAGATTGCCCTTTCGACCAAGGCCCATTAAAAAATTGTCTGATGTAAAAAAAAGAAAGAAAAAGTATAAATTTTATATGAATATAGATTTATTTACCAGGTTTAATATCTCGATGGATGAAATTTTTTGAATGGATAAAATCAATCCGGCTAACCTAAAATTCAGAAAAAAAACCGAAATATAATTTAGAATCTCTTTCTTTCTCTCTCTCAGTACATACCATTTGATCAGCAAGCAAAAGAACAGTTTTGAGCGAAAATTTTCTTGAACAAAAATTAAATAAATCTTCTAATGATGGTCCAAGTAAATCCATAACAAGAACATTATAATCTCCTTCAGCACCGCACCATTTTATTAATGGTATACCAACTCCACCTTGCATCATACGATAAATTTTCGATTCGATATGTAATTGAGGATGCTTTGTTCGGACGCATTCCAGTTTAATAGCCACTTCTTCATTTGATGCAATATTTGTTCCAAGATAAATATCACCAAATGATCCTGAACCAATTTTTCGTCCAAGTCGATATTTATGACCAACACGTAATTCCATTCTTGTTTAATTAAGGGAAAGGAAAAAAGAAAATAATATCGATAAGAAGAAGAAGAAGAAGAAGAAAGAAGAAAAGTTTTTGTGTCAGAAGTTTTTTTCTTATTTGGTTTATTTTTATTGATAATTATTCATCGTTTTTATCAATGGCTATTAAGAGAAAAGAAAAAGTGATCTGAAAAAAAAAGAAGAAGAAAAAAAAACACTCAGCTGATGCGTAAGTGCATTGAACCATCAACATCATTTTCGCCCTCTTCTATAAGTGATGTTATTTGTTATTTGTTTTCTATGAATGTATCTTTGTGTAGTTAGTCAAAACCAATCATGAACAAGATGCGCCACATGTCTACTTGATTTTGACGATATGTGGCGCTATATATATATTTATATTTAGAATATATTATTTTTTTCAAGTAAGAAAAAAAAAACATCCTGATTATTGTGGATTTTGAGTCAAGAATAAAGAAAAAATGATTAATCTTATAAATTAATTCTATTATATTTTAGCCTAGTATAAGAATAATATGGAATTCAGAGATATTCAAGCAATGATAAGTAGAGCAATTGAACACACAAAACCTGATCAACTTGTACCATTATTTAATTGGCTCGATGGTGAAATTTCTAGATATCGAATTTCCGGTTTCAGTAAGTTTCGTTTTATTTATTTAAATAAACTAAAATTTAAATAAATAATATTAAACGATTAGAAAATAGTTTTAGGAAAATTTTCATAGTTACTTCCGAAATTTCGTAATATTTTAATTGATAAATAATCGAAAGTTTCTTATTTTATTTTTCTAAAGATTTCGTTTTCTGATGCAATTTAATGATGAAATGATTTATAATATTGAACAGATTCTTTTATAATTATTTAGATATTTTAAATGAAAAGATAATCTCAACAACATGTGATTGTAAAACAAATAAACATTGTTGTTTTTGGTATTAATATTACCTTGTGATCTCTTGCTAAGCACAACAGTATATCTAATGTAAAGGATTTAAAACACAAAAAGAGGAGGGTTCTTAAATTTTCATAATTTAATTGATGATAAACATAGATCATGTTGAGGCGATTCGATTTTAATATGAATCAATATTGAAATGATTTTTTGCTAATTTTAGTGTCAACTCCAATTCAATCGGTATTAACACCTAAAATTAATCATGGACAGCGTTTTATGTGTGTTTGTGGTCGATCATTTGCTGCAGAAATATCAATTCGTGAAACGACTCATGTTGAAACAAGCTCTCCACCAGCTACACCAATGCTTTCTTTTAAAACTGATCTGAAACAACAGCAACAGCAGCAGCAACAACAAAATTCACAAGAATCCATGTGTAAACGACAAAGAATATTAACGATTGATGCACCAATGTCTTCTACTCCAACAACAGCAACATCTATAATTGATCGTATAATTCCATCAGCAATGTTCAGTAATTGGGGAACAACAAATCTTAAAACTTATGAAGGTAGTCCAGGTTCGTATTTACCTATTTGTTTATTTATCAAATATTTTTTAATTTTTATTCTAGAATTAATGACAGCTGAATCAAATCGTGGTGAAAGTGATATTGAATTATCAAGTGATGAATCGAGATGTTTAGATGAAATTGATGGTGTTCTATCGCCTGATAAACATGTTGCACCTAATTTTATTTATGCAAGTAGTTTATGGACAACATCACTTTCTCCTGCTACAAATGGTTGTTTATCATATTCGACTGATAATCATGAACAAAATCTACAACGAAATCATCATGAAATGCTAAGTCTTAAACCAATAAGCAATGAACCATTATCACCCGCATTGACACTTATTCATGATGGAGAATCCAGTAAAACAGTTGCAACAATTCATCGTCGACCAATGCTTATTGCATGTACAGATCCAGATGCTTGTTCACCAACAGGACCGACGCATTTTAAATGTACTCAATGTCATGAAACATTCGATAGTCTATTACTTGGACAAGAACATGCTAATAATGGCATGTGTATATCAGATGCAACAGTAAACGTACGTCAAAAAAATTCATCTTTTCTTTCTTATGATTAATATTAAAATTAAATTAATTATTAGCTTTGTTTTTATATAATGATAATAATAGGAAACAGGTTTTCTTTTTTCTACTATAGACAATATGTCTTACGCATGAATCTAGTTCTTGTATAGTAGACGATGTTTGTCGTTATTTTATAATTGAATAATTTTTTTTAAAATAATATATCGTGACTTGCTTTTATTCTAAAATCTTTTCATATTAGGATATAATTCAGACAAATTTGATGAAAAGAATTGTTCAAGTGTAAAGAAGAATTCTATTTGAAATATTAATAAAATCTTAGTCTATAATTATATTTAAACATAAATCCAACGATCTAATCTCTACTTGAATAGAACTTTCTTCATGTTAATGTTCGTAATTGATAAATACGATTTTTTCTAATTATTTTTTGTCTCGACTGATATCATTTATGGCAGACAGCTTTGAGACTAAAAATTGTCCTACATATTTCCGAGATAATCGAGCATTCAGTATAACCTAGAGATAATCTAATTACGGAAATAATCCTTATTGTTTTTTTTCATTACATGATTAACTAGAAATCATGTCTAGAAACCTTATATTTTATTAATAATAACATGATAAAACAAAAATTAATATTGCGTGTTTTTTCCTTTCTAGGTACTTGAGAATTCTGATTCTCATTTATCACCTACTGCATCATCAATATTTGATACTCTTCAAGAAAATATGGTATAGTTCTTATATATAGAAATCTTTATTTATTTTTATTCTACTTATCAATTAGGATGAAATGCTTAATACTCGACTTGATTCAAAAGCCGCTTGTCCAATTTGTATGATAATTAATAATATATATATTTCTTTTTTTTTCTTATTAATAATAATTCAATGATTTTATTATGTAGGTAATAAAGTATTTAGTAGTGTTCATACAATGATTCGTCATAAAACATCAATACATGATAGACAAGTTCGTTATGGATGCAATATTTGTGGTCGTTTCTTTTTTCGTAAAGATAAATTAACATCACATATGGTATATCATCAAGATTTTGATACATATGTTTGTTGTTTTTGTACAGTTGGATGTAAATCACGTATGTTAATGAGGCAACATTTAAAACGCGAGTAAATATTTTTTCGTATTAAATAAAAATGAAAATGAGAAAAAATAAATTTTTTTCTTTTTAGACATATTATACCAGGTGAAGATACTTGTTTTAATGATATACTTAGTCGATGTCAAGTTAAGAAATCATTAAATTTAGAAACAAATATGTCTGTTGCATATGGTACTGATAGACACACACCATCATTAAAACGAATTCTGACTACAAATTCAGCTGAAAGCGATATTAAACAACCGGCTAGTAATTAATTTTTTGTGTTTCTTTTTATTGTATATAAGTCGTCATACAGTGGGCGCTACAGTTTTTTTTCTCTCTCTCTCTCTCTTCTTTTTCTTGTTGTTTTTTTCTTCTTCTTCGGTGTAGCCTTTAGATATATGATCATCTATTTGCTGATTGTACATTTTATGTATACGTATATATATATATATATACATTTCATTCTTTTTTCTTCTTCTTCTTTTCTTTTGTTCTGTTTATATGAAAAGCATTATTAGAGAAACAAGAAATCCGACTAAACAAAAACAAAAAAAGTGTTATATATGAGAAAGTTTAAGTAATATAAAATTTTCTTTGTCTTTGTTTATTATTGTTTATATAATAACAAGATTTATTTTTAAATTAGATTTTTTTTCTCTCTCGTTATTATCGAATTGATTTTTATTTAATTGAAGTTTAAATACCAGTGTATATCTCTCTTTCTTCAATATTAAGAATGTATTATATAGTAAAAGAAGGTAGAATGTTATTAGAAAAAAAAACATTTGACAATATGATATATAAATATATATATATATATATAATAAAACTTCCTTTATCTTTTAAATCTCTTTAGGCAAATTTGTTTAAATCGATACTATTAATTGATATAGAAAAAAGCTTTTATGAGTTTTAAGTCTATGTTATTTAATAAGAACAGTTTGTATTTGATAACAATCTAATTTGGTCTCTTCAATTTCTAATAGATTTACATAATTATGAAGTTTTATTATCATAATCGAAGTATTGACATTGGCTAATGTCATGTATCGATGAAGTGTTTTAGTTAAATCATGATAAGATTTGACTATTTTCTTTTTGTGCATGAAATAATCATATTACTTTACATAAATCACGGCAATTCTAATAAAAATAAAGTTTTCAAAAAACTATTTACTATCGTATCTCATTCTATTCAAATATCATGTTTCATAAAAAATAAATAAATATTTATATACTACATTATTAATAATATTACCTACGGGTGTAAAATAAGTCAAAAAAACATTATTATAAAAATAAACCTACTTATCTCTAGTAGAATTTTTTATAAAACTATATGGCATATCAGATTTTTTCATGAATCTATTCAGTTAGTTGTTATTAGGTCTTAGAATAAAAATTGATTTGACAATGTATCAACTATTAGTTTATTGTTTCATATTATTCAGTTTTATTTTCAAAAATACACGCAAAAAAACAGTAATTATGAACAATACAATGTTTATTATATTAAAAACATTTTCGATGTACAATTGATGGACCTGATTCATCATATTCTCGTTTAGTTATCCACATTGCTTCAAATGTTGATAATGAACTAAGAATTGAACCACCAATCCATACTGCATATTTTCTTTCAGGTGGAGCAATGATTTTCACTTTCATTGTTGATGGTGCTAATGCTTTGAGTTCTTTTTCCATTCGATCAGCAATACCATTATACATAGTTGTACCTATCAAAGACAAATATAAAACATATTTTGCTATTTATTAACATTAGAAAATGTTTGATTTACCTCCGGATAGAACTGTATTTGCATATAATTCTTTTCGAACATCAATATCACATTTCATAATTGTATTATAAACCATTTGTGAGACACCTTCATTTTCACGACCAATCATAGATGGTGCAAAAAGTGCTTCTGGACATCGAAAACGTTCACTACCAATATTTATTAGTTGTCCATCGGGTAGTTCATAGGTTGTTTCGATTGCATTTGAAGAAGTGGCAAGTGCTAATTCTTGTTCAAAATCTGTTGCAACATAACATAGTTTTTCTTTTATATCTCGAACAATTTCACGTTCAGCTGTTGATGTGAATGCATGACCACGTTCAGTTAATAATCGTACCATCCAATCAGTTAGATCTCGTCCAGCTAAATCTAATCGACCAATTGCGTGTGGTAATGCATAACCTTCATAAATTGGAACAGTATGTGTGACACCATCACCTGAATCAAGTACAATACCAGTTGTACGACCAGATGCATAAAGTGAAAGTACAGCTTGTATAGCAACATACATAGCTGGTGTATTGAATGTTTCAAACAAGATTTGTGTCATTTTTTCACGATTTGCTTTTGGATTAAGTGGTGCTTCTGTAATTAGAACTGGATGTTCTTCTGGTGCAACACGAAGTTCATTATAGAATGTATGATGCCAGATCTTTTCCATATCATTCCAATTTGTCACTATTCCATGTTCAATAGGATATTGTATTGATAAAATACCTTTCTTTGCTAATGCTTCGTCACCAACAAATGAATCTTTTTGATTCATACCACTCATAACAACATTATAACGTGGACGGCCGACGACTGCAGGAAATACTGCACGTGGGGCATCCTCTCCACCAAAACCTGCTTTAACCATACCAGAACCATTATCGAGAACAATTGGATTTGATTGATCAGATAAACCGAAAGACATTGTAGTTTGAATTGTTTGAGAAAGTTTGTAATAATTTCACAATGAATGTTGAGAGTATTTATATAGTTGTTTAACGCGATCATTATGTGACCATCTAAGGTATTGTTGTTGTTGTTATCTGTCGTTGAATAGTCATTATAGATTGAGTCATTCATATATAATCTTATTTTTGATAACAGGTAAGAAATTGAAAAATACTAAAAAAGGAAAAGAATAAAATATTCTCAAGGTTAAATCGATGTAACATATGTTGAATTAATTTTCTTTCTGTTGTTGATATTGAATATGTAATGTAGAAAACATTTCCATCAATAATATTTCATTTAATAGAAATGGGTCAGAAGAAAAGTAGACATTCATCAGCATTATCACTTGATCATGTTGTTCTTCGTCGTATAACAAGTGTAACATCATTTCTACCTGATGAAATACAATATTTTTATTATGATTTTCTCAAATATGCACCATCAGGATATTTAACATTGGCTGATTTTGAAAAACTTTATAGAAGTTTGTTTCAACATGGTACATCAGACAACTTTGCAAAATATGTATTTCATGCATATGATACTAATCGAGATAATATAGTAGATTTCGAAGAATTTATTACCGGTTTATATTATACAACTAAAGCATCACCAAATGAAAAAATTCGATGGGCATTTGATCTATGTGATCGAGGTAATTGTATATATCTCAAAATCTTTTACATAATCAATTATGTTCAATAGAAATAGTTCATATCAGTACAGTCTTCCGACAAAATATTTCTATAGTAAAACATGAATATCACTTGCTGGCAATGTTAATCGTTTATTTTGACAGACTCTTTGAAATAATGGCAATTATTCTACGCTCCGACAGCTATTCCCAACGGGCTACTTACAGATAGTGGCAATTGCCAATTACTTAAAAATGTCTGACGATCCTATTGAGTATTGTATATTGAAAAGAAATATACAATCAATTTAACTGACCTGTTACTATTTTAATTATCATTTGATTATGATTTTTAGATCAAGATTATCAACTTGATGCAATAGAACTTGACAGTATAGTTCAAGCTCTTTATGAATTATCTGGTAATGATATGTCACGAGTTGAAACATATGATGATGCAATAGAACGTGTTAGAGAATTATTTTTAACAAATCAAGATGATGATAAAAGTACTGAACTTCTTAGTAGTGTCACAAAAAGTGAATTTGTTGATATTGTTCAAAAAGATACAACAATTATGAAATTAATTGATTGTCGATCAATAATTAATAAACGTGCAAGTAAACTTGAAAATTCAAATATAAATTCATTAAAAAAACAATTAAAATTCAAACCTTCAATACATAAATCATTATCTGATTCAACATTAGCGGCAACAAATAAAAAAGATTAAAAAAATGACTAGATATAAAAAAACACACACGCACACGCATGCATATACATTCTTTTTTGTTTTAAAACATTGTTAATAAAGCAAAAACACCATAAAATAAAGCACATGGATATGCAACAAGTAATTGTTGTCCAATCATTGCTAATGATGTTGAGAAAATTTTTGACGCTGATATTGAAGACCAGAGAATAAAAACTATTGAAATGATCATACCAATAAAACCATTTATTTTAAATAAAAATGATGAAAATGAAAGAATAACCATTGGTAAAAGACAATAACCAAGTACACTTGTGACAAATATACCTGAACATGGTTTATCAGGTGATGTCATTAAATTTAATAATGTATACATTCCGAAAGTACCTAATGTAACAATACCATAAACATAACCGAAATGAATTTTACCTAATAATAATAGACTACAAGCAAATGCAAGACAAAAAACAAGAGGACCAGCGAGATCAACATCATCGAGAATTGATAAATCCGGTGTTGTAAATGGATTTAAAACTAATTTTGTTTTTTTAAATATATGCTCGAAATTAATACCTAATTCTTCTAATAAAGGTGGTTCATGATTTTCAATCTCATCTACAGTTGATGCGACATATTCATTTGGCTGATAAAAGTAATTATTATGACTAGAAATATTTATCTGAGGTTTAAAATCATAAGGTGATGGTATAAAATTTCCATTTGGATATTGCTGTTGATGTTGTTGTTGTTGTTGAAGTTCATAAGATGTCGGTCCATTATATGTCGAAGGATTAAAAAAATCCGCTGAATTCCACGACATATCTAAAATGAATGGGAAAAAAAAATATCATACTGATCAAGATTTTATGAATGCAGAAGGATCAGAGAAGAAAAAAAACAGCATAACAATAACAAAAAAACAAACAATTGAGCCTATTTCTTTGCTGCAGCTAAGCCACCACCAGTATTGGTTTTGAAATAAATAATATCACCATCTTCAACGGTATAATTTTTTCCTTGTTGACGATATTTTCCTTCAGCCTAAGAAAACATAAAAAATATAGATCAATATAAATTTTCCTTTTCTTTTATACTTTAACAGTATTTTCATTTCCATGTTCTTTGAAATCTTCATATTTCATAACTTCAGCCATAATAAAACCTTTTTCAAAATCAGTATGAATACGTCCTGCAGCTTGTGGTGCTTTTGTACCAACTTGTATTGTCCATGCTTTAACTTCATCTTTTCCTGATGTAAAAAAATAACATAATTGTAAAGCACGATAACCAGCAAGAATAATTTTTTCCAAAGCACTGAAAAAAATAGAGAAAGATATATTTTTCATAATAAGAATAAAATTAATTTACCTTGGTGCTCCTTCTTCTTTGATAACTTTTTCACGTTCAGCATCCGGTAATTCAACAAGACGATATTCATAATTAGCGCTAAATGGTATTACGGTCGCACCTACATCATGTTCGTCAATCCATTGTTTAACTTTTCCTAACCATTTATTTTTTTTGTGAATATAATCTTTTTCCGACATATTCAATAAATAAATCATTGGTTTTGATGTATTAAATAAATGCTTATTAAGTACTTCAATTTCTTTTTCGTTCCAATCATTCATACGAACATTACCTTTCTCGTCTTTTAAGATACTTAAAACTTTAGTTAATGTTTCCTGTGATAAATATAAAATTTTAGAAACAAAATTTGTAATTAATTTAACTCACATAATCAGCTTTTAATGATTTATCATTACCACGTACAACTTTTTTCTCGAGATCGTCAGCTACTTTTTTAGCTAATTCAAGATCTTTTAATCTAAAATTGAATTTTATTAGAAAAACAATGTTTTTTGTTCATCGGAAGATATAAACAAACCTTAATTCATCATGAATGATTTCAATATCACGTATTGGATCAACAGTTCCTTCAACATGAATAATATCAGCTTCATCAAATATTCGAACCATATGAAATATTCCATCACATGCTTTAATATGTGAAAGAAATGCATTACCAAGACCTAAAATAAATATTTTTAATTTCAAAAAACAAAATACTTTCATTTGATATCTACCTTGTCCTTCACTTGCACCTTTAACAAGACCAGCAATGTCAGTAACCTAAATTTCAATAAAAAAAATGAATAATAAAATAAAAAGTAATTATTTTGTTTACATTAAGAAATGCTGGTTGTTTACTAAAATAGAAAAAGATATATATATAAATATAGTTTAAGAATGAAATACTTTAATGGTTCATAATGTTGAACTAAAAAATCAAATCTTGCATCAGGTACAGGTACACGACCTATAAAATATGATTTTTAGAATTAATCATAAACTTAGGGTTTATAATATTACTTTCATTTGGATTGATCGTACAAAAAGGAAAGTTTTCAGCTGGTACACTTGATTTAGTAAGAATATTAAAAAAAGTTGATTTTCTAAATCGAATGTAATTCAATAGATATGATTTTTTTTCACATAGAATTTTTAATGAAAACTCACCCAGCATTTGGTAAACCGACAATACCCATTTTAAGATTAGCACCAGCTCGACCAATGAGTGGTTTTGGTTTTTCTTCTTTCTTCTTTGGTGGCATTTTTCCTATATATATTTATATATCTGTTCTTATCTACAAATAAGAAATATTATTAGATAAATAAATATCAATGTAAATCATTTTATTATTGATTAAGCTGCAGAACTTTTGCCTTGATCACTACAATGTCCATATTTGTTTTCCTCCATAGTAAGAGCCAGTGGCCGATTTAGATGGGGGCGGTCGCCTGCCCCCTTTAGAAATATTTTTTGATTTTTTTACAGCAAAAATAGATTCACACTACTTCGAATTGGACTCAAAAAATAGTCTTTAGCCGAAATCGCGCCCTCTCTACTCAAGAATCGCCCCTCCCTTCCAAAATCCTAGTTCCGCCGCTGGTGAGAGCATAACCCAAATTCAAGAAAGATGTTGTGCACTCTGAACCTTGTTGATTTTCATAAATTCTAAAACTTTATATCCATTCATTCTCCCCGTTTTTTTTATTCTAATTCTAAAACAATAACAATACTGATAAGAATAAATAATAATAATATCAATTAAAATATAAAATATATATGAGATTAAACTTTACTCTTTGTTGATGAGATCATAATTGATTCTTTTTTTTCATTAATATTTGTATCTGATATATGAAAAAAGACTAACATAATACTAATTGCCATTACTAAATGTGCAAAAAGAATAATTAACATTGATATTGCATTAAAACGTTTTGGATCAGCATTAATTGTTGGCCAAAATGCAACTATTAATACACTACCACTTATTAATGATGATAGAATTGTTAATAACCATTGTAACCATGTTATTGGTATCATCCATAGAATTGAAACTGGAATAAATATTGTTAAACTATAACCATAAATGCAAAGTAATTCAATAAATATGTATTCGATACGTTGAAGATGCCATCGAAAGAAAAAATAAATACATGTTGGCATTAACCACCAATAAAAACATATGAGCTAGAAATAGAATTTTTTTTTGTTAAATTTTAAATACAATAAAATATATTTTAACTTACAATAGCTGATAAAGTAATTTTAGAAAAATCTATTTGAAATTCACTATCAGGTGTACGAAAATATGTTAGAATATTTCCACCAATAGCTACAGTTACTATAAATGTAATGCAAACCCAAAATGGTCCATATAAATCCGGATTTTGTCGAATAGTTGAATTAAAATAAGATTTATTTGGTTGTGGTGTTACGGAAGCAACTAAACGTTCCAATATTTGTTGTGTATCAATTTGAAAATATTTTTGATAATATTCAATTTGCCAAATATTCAATTGTTCATTTTTTGTATTATTTACAGTTGCTGGTAATGGTAGTTGCTCTGTATTTGATGGATTATATCCATATAATTGATCATTATTCGATTTATTGTCTAATGAAGAATCATCATCGGGATCAACAGCAGAATTTGGAAATGATGTAAAAATATGTGTTTGACTTGGTCCTTTATTCGAAAATTTATCATTTAAAAATCCATCACTAGAAAACATCATTGCAATAAATAAAAAAAGAATATGTAATATACATTTATCGTCGAGTCAGCAGCGGCGATGATTTTCTATATTTATTCTATATATTATTGGATAGAATATTCCAATTAGAAACTAGTGTACTAGCGACAAGTAAGAATATCGGATGGACAATAAAAATTACTTTTAGTATATAACAAAATGATATTAAGATGTTAATAGATATGATAAGTCGAAAAAAACAACTAATGCTATTTTTATTTATTTTCGAAAATTATTCATTCATATGAAACTTTTGAGTGATATGTTTTTCATTATTACGACAATCTATATCTTATTAAAGAAAATCTAGGTTCTTGTTGAAAGACTAACAAGTTTATGTGAATTTGATATAATGCTTAACTTAAATTCATTATTGTTAACATTCGATTTAGTATCTCATTCGTATATTTCGGTTTATATGATAATAAAACGATATGAATCGTATAGGTTTTTTTATTTTTTATTGGTAAAGACAACTATGAAGGCAACACCTATTGCACTCAACCATATAGCAGACATTAGAAAATCAATCAATATAAAGACCTAGCATATTATTTTTATTATAACACTATCGAAAAAGAAGTATCAGTAGATACTAGGTTAGTTAATGAAATATTAGTAAGAGAAATAATATGTTGACAACACCAGATACGCCTTTGGACTGTCTAAAAATACCAGATAGTCAGAAATTGCTTTCGCCGAAACCACGTCGTACTATTTCATTTACGGAACAATCTGGTCAAGTTGATGAACGTATTGCATCAAATTTAAGTCTTTCATCTTCAAAACCTAGTATTCTTAAAAAACCAAATTCAACTGTATCTTCACAATTAAATGTTTATTATACACTGATGGAAAATGATAATAAAGAAAAGATATCATTTCATTCATCACCAACATCAATAGAGGATAATCTACACAAAACTACTCATAAAGATCAAGAGCATCTTTTCCAAAATCTATTATCGAATAAATCAAAGGAACCAGGTTGGTCGTTTCTATTTTCACATGCACATCGAAGGTATGAAAATAAGATTAAAATTTGTTTACTTCGCTTGTTTTTGCGTTTATAATTATATTTTTTTGCACTAAATCAATGTTTACATAATACTTGTACCTAATGATATTCTATATATATATCTATTTCAAATCGAAGAAAACTTATCGATTTATCAGTATTACTTATCAATTAATGAGATAAATCAAGTCAAAATAATATATTCTTTTTCTAGAATATGTTATTTTTGCAGATCTATATCGCATTCAGTTTAAATCAGATTTTGACACGTATTAAAGATTTTATCGATAGGTTTTACATATCCATAACCGTGACGAATATCATAGCCAATCATAATCAGGTCTTTAAAACCACAAGTAAACCTAGAATTTAATACTTAATCAATATAAATTGAATCATGACTTTTTTTGCTCCTAAAAAAATATATTGCAAAGTATAAAATAGATAATTATCTCTTATGGGCAATTTATCAAGTTTTTCTTTTTCTAAAAAAAAGCTTGTATTCGAAAATAAATTACACCTTTTAGTCACGTTATTTTTGGCTTATTACCTTGTTTTTTTTATTCATGTCTATTAAAAATATCAAATGATTTATCAAGAATCTTAGAAATTTACCATTTTTTATACAACTAAATCTACCTAGTGAGCAAATTTGATTATTAATCAAACAATAGTCGAAAACAACAAAAAGAGACAACGCCTTAATCCTAATTTCTCTTGACAAGCTGTATAGGACAAAAATAAAGACGCAAATATGAGGTATGCATATTTTCTTATGTAGTATATAGGTAGTGATTCGAAAAGAAAAAGAAATAATATGAGGAGGATTGTATTAAAAATAATAATATATAAGGGATATATACATATCAATAAGAAAATATGTAATTATCTAATGATAAACAAAATAACACACATGACTTATGCAAAATAATATTTGTACATTAAGCATCAATGGCGAAGAAAGAATTTGGTAAAACTCGAAAGTTTTTATTTAAATTTGATAAACATAAAAGGTAGAATCTTGTTTTTTTATTTATTCATGATAGAATAGCATATAAAAATTCTTTTGAAGAAAAACAAATCTTATTGCTTTGTTTATAAGGTATCTCTTTTCATATATATATATGTATAATGATTCGTGGTTTTAAACCAAACAAACGTTCTATAGGTAATACGATTCCGCTCCGGTGAACTTTTTTTTTAAATGTAAGTTGAATCGATGTAGATCTATGCATATATCGGCTAATGAGTACGTAAAGGTCAAGTAAATTGAACTAAAGAATGAGTAAGAAACAACAATATTTCATTTGAAAAATGGCCGTCGTAAGGACATATGTCCGACATGTTAAATATATGTATATTTGAAATTGTTCTTTGGATTTATTTGAATTAAATTCATTATTTTTGTTTTTATATATTTAGAAGCAATGATGAAAATTCAGATGCTTACAAAATCTTCAGTATACTCTATGGTTTGGGTAAGTATGATTTATATACACAAGATTTAAAATAAAAATAGAAATTTTGTTTTTATTTACATTTAATTAATCTACGAATAATTTATACTGATATAAAATGTTCATTCACACATATTTTCTGATTGTTTATTTTCTTTCAAGTGAAATAATCCATCAGTCAATCTTTGAAAGAAGATTACAATGGAGTTTTTTTCCCGGCTGGTTATAATTCTGGATTCTTGTTTTTCAATAGCATCGAATATTTAGACATTGAGTAATGATAGTTTGGAGGCAAAGTCACACTGATTAATTTTTTTCTCGGATATATTTGCTATATTTGAATAATGGACATATCTATTTCTAAATATTCATAAAAATTTGATGAATTATCGTAGTAGTATACAGGATAAATTTGAAGAAAACTCAAAATCAAAAAATCTCTATCAAATTTTTAAGGATTAGATTTATATTGTTTTTTTATTATTATTAGTTATCTTTATTGGTGGTGTGGCCTTTTCAATATCTCATGCTATTATACCAACAGAAGAAGCTGAAAATATTAAACATCTAGCAGAAGTAAAAAAATCCAAAGAGAAAGAGAAAGTTTTGTTTTAAAATAAACATTCTTTATTCATAGGTTTATTTTACATATCTATATTGGGTATCCATATTTTGGATCATATTTTGTATGTTTGATATCGTTCATCATCGACGGAAATTGGCTATAAATGCATCAACAATAGATAAATTAGATATGCATCTTATACCAAAACCTCCTACGGATTTACGTATAGCTCGAACTAAAAAGATGTCAACAATGTCTGACGAAGAAATGCCTAAAGCACCATATTTTAATTTACAATTATTTGATGATTCTGATGAGTTTCAATCTGAAAGTCATGATGATACAAATCATAATCAACGACGCCCGACAAACTCAATTACGCCAGTACATGACGATGATGATGATGATGATAATGATGGGGTACATGGAGCGTTGAGCTTTACTCGTCATAAATCACAATCATTAGATAATTTATCAACAAGATCCTCAGTTTCCATGAGAAAACATACTGATACAACGCGAGATGTTTTAAGTCGACGTCTTGCATTAGATCCAGGTGCTGTACACCATTTAAGAAACTACGTACGTCATAGAAAAGATAGTATTGTACAACGTGTTATTGGTTATAATTACGATGATCATTCAACAGCTGGTGGTCTTTATATTCGTGTAGGAATAGGAAGTAAGAAGAAAATAATCGAAGAAAATTTCAGTTAATTATCTTGTTTATTTCATTTAGTTTTTTGTTTGGGTACAGTCATACACTCAGGTTTATCTATATTAAGTAATCTTGAAAATCTTCCATGCGCTAGATGGACAGCTGTTATGGATGATTTTTCAAGATTATTATTTAGTTTCATTCAATTCTTCTTTATTTTTAAACATTCAAATGTAAGAATAAATTAAATATCATAATAACTCATCCAAAAATTCTTTATTTAGTTAATTATTCGAGCGCATGAAAGTCTTGCTAGATTAGCTGTTATGCATATCGTTGTTACTAATTTATGTGTGTGGTATGTAATCTATTTTTATTTAATAATATTGATTTTCATTTAATTTATTAGGTTTCGAATGGTTGTAATTGAAACAAAATCACAAATAGTTGAAATGGCTGCACATGAAGGGGGAGGGGGACATATTGCAAGTGGTACTCATCCTATCAACAGTAAATAAACCTAATTTTATTTTTATTTTTTTTCGATTTAATTTTAATAATATATATAGTCAGTCACGTTCTAATCAATCCTTTAAATCATGCACCTTCAAATCCATCGAGTTGTATACAATCTGTCGAAGATGCTCTACAAATGACTGCTTTTATTAATGAAGGTTATATGAGACTTAAACCTCTATTATATCCATGTACAATTGAATTTAGTCTGATGTGTCTAACTGTAAATATTAAAAATTAATGATTTTAAGAAAGACCAAAAACTAATTTTTTCATATTTTAGCTTTTCTTTTTAATATGGGAAAATATTGGTAAAACATTTGCTTATAAAATGTCTGATAAAGCAGGAACAAAAAATGTTTTTATGGTTAATTGTCATGCATCTATTAAAGGTTTATTTGCTGGTATGATTATATTTTCATGTACAGTCATATCGATTATTCTCTATGCTGTTTTTCGAAATAAAATCGGAGAAGATTTACATGCATCATCATTAGCAAATTATCATGAAAATTTTCCTGTTAATAGAATTCATTCACGTGCAATAACACATACTGCAACATCGTCTTATTATCGTCATTTAGTAACTACTTCATCAACTACTATTGCTACTACTTTAGCATATGGTCCATTTCGATCAATATCAAAAACTCCGAAGAAAATTTTATATAGTATTGCTATTGTTGAAATCGTAAATTTTTGTTTATTAAGTGCTTCATTATTGGCAACAACATGGGCATTAATAAAAATTCGAAAATTACAATATAAAAGAATAACTACACGTATGTATATGATGAAAGATTAATTTTCATGTAAAATAAATTTGTTTCTTCTAGGTTTTGATGATGTATTAATTGTTGTATCACTAACAGGAACTTATTTATATTCTATATTTAGTGCTTTTGCTTTACTTAATAATAAAAATCAATCAACATGGATTGCTTATCTTAAAATAGTGATTGTTGTATTAGGTATGTTTTTTTAACAAAAAACATAATTTATTATTATTTAAATTTTTTTTTGTTTAAGAATTTGTTGAAGCTACTGTTCATGCATTTTTTATTCTTGTTGCATTACGTAAACGTCTGAATCGAACAAGTAGACATCAATATCCAGCACGTGAAATAATTACATTACTCATTATGATTGATCTTAGTTTATGGTTTGAAGAAACAACAACAACAACAAAACATGAGGCTAATCCATTTCAATTAGCTTTTTATCATATTATTCCATGGTCTATTATAGCAGCTATCGCAACACCTCTTCAGATTTTTTTTCGTTTTCATGCATCAGTATGTTTGTCACATGTATGGGAGAATATGTACATTTTACCAGCGTATGAAAAAGTTGCTCCTCATGGTTTATAACGAATATTTATTTTTATTTTATTTTATTTTTTCGTTTGTTTTGTATTTTTTTAACCATCACTTTCGTTTATATATATAAATACATATTCGAATGAAGATCAATAAGTCGCTCTTGAGATGATATATCATATATATGTTGGCGCGACCGAACCAAACGAAAAGTCTAGGTTTTTTCCTTTTCTGTTCTTTCAAAGTTTTTGTGCCTACGCCTTACATATAAAAGTCATAAAAGAAATAGAATAGCTGTTATTATTTCAAGGAGGAAATGTATGCATTACTAGCAAAATTGTATATTGACAAAACAATGAGTTCAAGTGCAACGCCTATGCCAATCACCGAAACTGATGAAGGTCGTTGTGAAGTTTGTTTGGATGAAGAAACTACTACTATTGGCGTAATAACTTGTGCTCATCGAAATACTTTTTGTAAAAACTGCATAAAAACTTGGCTCAGCGGTGGTAATGTTACCTGCCCTAAATGTCGGGCACCCTGGCCAGTAAATATAAATATCGATGTATGTTCAGAAATTATTAGTATTAGTACCATACATGAATCATGATATATCCAACAGCGAAGTAACTTTAAATAGTAACGTTCAAAAAAAAATAATATAATTATTCTCTTATTGGGTCTTAAATTCATTTGCAAAAGAATTGGTCAGTTTTTTTAATTTAATACTATTTTTTTTTATTTTTTATATCATGAAGAATTATTTAATGTAATTAGAAATCAATACATGTAAATTCTTACGACATATTTTGAACTAGTTTAACAAATATGTTTAAATACTACAGAAGACTTGATAAATTATTTTCCATGTCATGCTTATTTGGTTATTTCTAACCATATTGTTCTCACTGTCTTTTTGATGATTCTCTCTCATTTTTTGTTATTCTGAGTAGGAATGGATGTATGACAACCTATTGTATATAAGAGAGAGAGGCCGTTGAAAGCAATAGGTATATATTGTTCTGTTCATGTGTTTGGTTATGAGATAAAGTGACATCTTCACACTTGATTTCAATATCAGCCTATATTCATTATCTGTAACTATCAGAAATAGTAAATAAATATTCATTTAAGGCATTTTAATTTCGAATTGTTAACAAAAAAGAAAATTGAAAAATGTATCAAGATATGTTATAAAATTTAGTTAACTCTGTCTGTTCTAAGAGATTCTCGGTGAATGAATGATAGGACTCCCAAACCGTAATAATTATTCGAAATGTCGAAACCTGTGAACTTAAGATAAATTTTAACTTGTAGGAATATGATACTGCATCTTTTATAAAAACGACGTTTAGATCTTGTAACTAATAAGTATATTTTCAATGATAAACTTTATATATATAAATAACTTCTATTCATTGCGTAGAAATTTGGAAAAAGAAAATGTGAATTCTCTTTTAAAAGCACAAGCCACCTCATTTTTCATATTAAAGTTAATTGAAAATTCTATTTTCATAAAATGACTTAACATTTAATTTAACAATAATCAATCAAATAGTAAAAATACATAATTTTCACATAGAATATCATCATTGAACAATAAGAATTTTTTCAACAGTTGGTCCTTCTACTACAAACCATGGTGGATAATAATCTGCGCGTGCATACACAGCTGGGTTCCGAATGGTTAGTGTACACAGCAGAAGAAAAATAGGTGAAACACTTGCGACTTTTGAAATACACGCTGTTTTACACGTTGCTGGCGAAAACAAAATGTTCACGGTACAATCTGCGAACAAAATTAACATTTTGTTTTTGTTAAGCCATAAATTGATTTCTTTTCTATTTAAATTTCAATGGATTGATTTTGATGAGAATTGTTCAAGATGGTTGTGCAATTATTGTAGAATTAAACTCAGTATAAAAGTTGATTCAATATGGTCTTGTGATGATCATATAGACATGCATCATTAAGAAAAAGAAAACGAAATTAATAGTGAAAACGAAAATTTTGATTGATTCGTTACTAATGTTAATATGTTATTTTTTTCTCGAAATATTTTTTTTGAAATATTCCTATTCATGTCAGATTACATAATTGTGTGCGTATTAATTGTGTATTCAGTATTATTCAGTATGCATTTATTTTACATTCTTCATTAGCAAAAAATACGAACACTTTCTATATTTCAAGATTATAATTAAATTCAATTTATAGACTTTGGAACATTCTGCGTTCAAAAACAAAGTGTACAGAAACATTTTTCTTCTAAATTCTATTCGGAACCCTGATACACAGCCGAATTTATATAGTGGCTCGATTTTCAGTCTTATATGCCCCCCTTTCCTTTCTAATTTCTGATAGAATTTCAATAATCAGCATAGTAAATTATTTGTTTTCTAATTCTCTGATTGAATTTGAATGATCAAAAAACAAATTTCTAATTCTCTGGTTTGTTTCAAACTACATGATTTGAAGTAACGATTCGTATAATCACATACATCTTTGCTTATCTGTGGATGTTTAAGAAGTGCTAAGCATTTTTAACTTCTATAAATTTTCAAGAATTAAAATTTTGAGTAGTTTTGTCATGCACACTTCAAAATTTGTATCAATTTGATATTTGCCACCTCATGATATTTCTTTTATTTTGTTTTTTCGTTTGTTTTGTATTTTTTTAACCATCACTTTCATTTATATATATAAATACATATTCGAATGAAGATCAATAAGTCGCCCTTGTGATGATATACATTATAGACGTCTTGCGCCGGCGAACGAAAATTACCTTGTTTTCTTTGTTCTCTATTCTCTCTTTTTTTTATTTACCCTTCTTTGTCTATTCATCCCTTTTCTTCTATTCCCTCAAACTATTGCTCTCTGTACTCGGCAGGTAGAAGTTATAAGAGAAATAGAACAAATCGTTATTATTTCAAGGAATAATTGTACGCATTAATATCAATATTGTATATCGACAAAACAATGAGTTCAAGCGCAATAACTACGGCAATCAATGAAACTTACGAAGATTCTCGTGAAGTTTCTTCGGGAGAATCGCTTGCCGATATGGACGTAGTTATTTGTGCTGGTGGACAGACTTCTCCTCAAACCTGCGGAGAAGAAGTGCTTGGTAGCATTCTGCCTATTTGTCGTCAATGTAGTGCATTCTTGCCAGTTAACACCTATGTAAGTTCAGAAATTATTAGTACCATACAAGATTCAAATTCTTTTTGTATGAATATAGAGCGAAAATATAGATCTTTGCGCAACTTGTTACGATGAAATGCGTTCTACTATGGATGCAATTCCTGATGCTCATCGAGAAACACCCAGGTCAGTAAATATCTATGTAAGTTCAGAAATTATTAGTAGTACCATACACGATTCAATTTTTTTTGTATAAATATAGAGAGAAAATA